CACACACACACACACACACACACACACACACACACACACACACACACTGCCGACCTGAACTCTTCTCAGCTGAATTCAGTCCTGTGTGTTCTGCTCCAGTCTCACTGCCATCCATCCATTTATTTTAGATAAATTGTCTTTTCAACATTTTGATCGCTTTGACTAATTAGTGCCGTTGTTTTGATACGTTTTGTAATACACATCAAACATTTCACTAGTTTTTTTTTTGTTTTTTTTTTTAACTGTAAGCTTATTTGTTATGTCTGAAATGTTATGCACTGTAATGTAAGCAGGAGTTCTGACACAGCAGTTGTGTTTGCGTCCTGCAGAGCTGTGTGGAGACGCTGTGCGTAAAACAACTGGCTCAGGGCGCACAGCTGGAGGAGGATGAAGACGCTCCCCACAGGACATGCAGTCCGTGTCTCTGCTGGTAGGAGCGTGGCGCGGCCAGAACATCCACTCGTTGTACTTTTAATAAATAATCAAAATAAAAATGCGCAATGACTTTGGACTTTTAGGGGCGGAGTTGGCGGATCCGAGCGGTCAAAATTATAGAGTTCCAGGATCTTGTTCTGACGGGATCCGGCTCAAATGAACCGCTGTCTGAATATAAAAAACAAGAGCTGTTTGTAACGTATAATACGTGAAGAACGGGGATGTGAACCGGGGCTTGAGCATCTTAAATACACTGAATCGTACCAAATGTTTAAAACTCCGCCTGTCAACTCGAAGCAGTCAGCTGACTCGGTCTGAATGAAGCAGTGAATTGGTTCCCACGTCATCGGTGACGTCACATGAAGCACGCTCCGGCCCAATGCTTCACCATAACTACCCTGTCGAGTCTGAAGCATGCTTTGAAGCTTCGGTGTTAGAAGGAACATCACTATTGTAGTGAACTAGACCTAAGGTCAAAACCTTGACCTAAGGACCATTGGGACAGAACTTGTTATTTCATTGATTTGCATCCAGAAATACAGGTTGACCCATCCTGAGACTTTCTTTCTTGAATTAATCAAGTGGAAAAAGACAATTCTCTATGATCATTACTATTTTACAAATGTTTTGATAATCAAATTGTGTTAGTTCAAACAATGTTTACATGTTGAAGTGAACTAATCATTTTAATTAACTGTGAAACAGTAATAATGATTCTTAATCCTCATTCAAAGAAGAAATCAGGTTAATATGCATTTCTTGATTTTCTGTCTTCAATGAGCGAAGTTGTAAGTGTGTCGAAGTTCAAGTTTCGGTCAACTGAAAGTTTACTGAAAAGAAATGTCATGTTTAACTTTTACAGCAAGATACTGGAAGAGGTGACTCCACGAAGTCTGGTTTCTTCATAATATCTTTCTGTCTGTTCTTAAACAATCTTAATCTTTTTCCTTGACTTTTCATAACACCTTACATCACAAAACACACCTCTGTTTTGGTCCATCGACCAATCAGAAGCTCTCAAATGAACCGGAAGTAGAGCCCTTTAAATGTTGGCACTTCCTAGTTCAACCAGAGAGTTTGGAGTTCCAGAATGCAGAATGCTGGAATGCAGCATGCTCAATACAGCTGCCACTAAGCTGAACAGAGAGTTTGCAGTTCCAGAGTTCATGAAGGCTGGAATTCAGGATGCTGCTGAAAGAGAATCAAGCTGAACCAGAGACGATTTGGGAATTATGAACTTCTGTTTTGGATAACCTCACGACTCCAGAGGTTTTAGCTGTTCTCACGGAGACGCTGAAAGAGTTGAAAGGAGAGCTCTACACCAACGCTGAAACTATCATCTGCAAGGTAAAAGAGTCGATCTCAAC